TTTCCCAGAGATGGGTTGCGGCTGGAAGGTGTAGTGGCTATTTTCTCTAAGGAGGCTCTCTCAGTGGTCAAGAAACAAAGTCTTACCCGGGATGTCTTTTACAAGTTTTATTCTTTATAAAGAAGATCACAGTCATACAGCAACAACAGTTTCTGCAGAGTGAGATACTAAAGTCAAGTGTGTTCACCCTTTTATCTGGTTTGTACTGCTTACGAGGTCAACTCCCAATAAGGCCTCATCTACAATTACGTCAGGCGTCTTCTGCTGTTCGTGCGATATGCTCATAACAACCACACATCCTTCTTAGGATAATGAAAAAGCTTTCACCTAAAGAAATATAGTTATCTATAAAAATGTACACATAGGTTTTATGATGAACATATGGAGAACACAGATACACACACATGTAATAACGAGTCTTAGACAAGTTTCTAACATATAAAGCTCATCTAAAAATGAATTTCCATTACAAAGGGCATCCGCGTAAAAATGTGCTGGATAAGTTGGCGGTTCATTACGCTGTGGCAACCCCGGATTGATAAAGAGACTAAGCCAAAAAGAGAATGAATGAATGAATGAATGATTTACACAGCATTTAAAATGGCAAGTATCCCATGTAGTACCACATTAATGTATTACTGTTTAATATCTACAGAAAAACTATTCTGACACTTTCCTAGTACACAAAATTATATAATGCAAAATTGTTCCTACACTAAGAGCGATCTTGTTTGCAATAATAACAAGGAGGCTTTTATCAGCAGTTACTGACGTACACAAATATGGTTATTAGGAATTGTATTTTAAGTTATTATATCAATTCAAAAACAATAACACATTTAATCTAATAACAGACAAAGCTACAATTATTGAGCACATGAAAAAATGCAGCCGTTTTCCTCTTCCAAGTGCAAAAAAATGAGTGAAATCTGTCTGGCCGGTCACGCATGACTCCCTGCGCTCCTCCACTTGAGACCTCGTCTGGAGTGAAGCGATAGCCAAATCGCTCACTCTCCCCAAAAGAGTCTGGAGCAAGAGCCCTGTCCTCATCCAAAACTCTCCCGTTAGACCACAAACACCACAGCCACGCGCCAGACAATTACGAGGTGAACCAACAAGCAGCAAGTGGCACAGGAACATTGTCTTGCAGAGCCAAAACCCTTTGCCAAATGATTAGCGATGGGACGGTGAAGTGTGACAGCAAGCACTGCAGCATCGAGTCCCAGCTGCTGAAGACTTTCAAAGTCTCTTAAACGGCCAAACGGGGTCTCAGATGAGGGGGCACAGGAGGGTGATTAATTACCACACCGTCACAGGGTTTGTGTTTTACTAATAACTCAAACAAATGCAAATGTGATGAGGCTTCTTGTGTTGAATCAACCATTAATGAAACACATTTTGTTTATTAAATTTCATATAGTATATCATTAAGCAACCTCATAGAATATTGATATCTATAGGCCTCTTTTGTAATATTTTATTTAGAGTGACATATTTTATTATGGTCCCCATCCTATTAAAGCTTTGTCCTAAGTCCTGCAAGCAGTGTCTTGCATTTAATTTCATGAATATATAAACTCACGCACCACTTTATTAGATACGCCTTACAAGTACTGGGACTCCCTTTTTGTGTTCAAAACTGCTTTAATCCTTCGTAGCATAGATTTAACAAGGCACTGGGAATATTGCTCTGAGATTTTAGTCTATTGACATGATAGCACCATGCAGTTGCTGCAGATTTGTTGGCTGCACATCCATGATGCGAATCTCCCGTTTCACCAGATTTTTACTCTATATGTATAACTTTAAAAGCGTAATATGCAGTTGAAGTCAGAATTATTAGCCCCCTTTGAATTTTTTGTCATTTTTAAACATTTCCCAAAAATGTTTAACAGAGCAAGGACATTTTCACAGTATGTCAAAAAAAAAAAATTCTAATGAAGAAAGATTTATTTGTTTTATTTCGGCTAGAATATTTTTTTAAAAAACATTTTAAGGTCAAAATAATTTTGCCCCTTTAAGATATTTTTTGATAGTCTACAGAACAAGTCATTGTTACACAATAACTTGCCTAATTACTCTAACCTGCCTAGTTAACCTAATTAACCTAGTTAAGCCTTTAAATGTCACTTTAAGCTGTATAGAAGTGTCGTGAAAAATATCTTGTAAAATATTATTTACTGTCATCATGGCAAACATAAAATAAATCAGTTTTTAGAAATGAGTTATTAAAACTATTATGTTTAGAAATGAGTTAAACAAATTCTCTCTGTTAAACAGAAATTGGGGAAAAAAACTAAACAGGGGCTAATAATTCAGTAGGGGCTAATAATTCAGACTTCAACTGTAGTTTGCTAAAGGTTTTTTGATAAATTAAAATGATCTATAGGTTTATCTCCACATTATTGTTTATCTCCATGTTATTGTAAGTTTTGTGAACCACAGAGTTCAGATACCTTTTATGATGTGGGAATATTTGGAGGTGCAAAAACTTTGAGGTTCTGTGCTGGACATTTTATTTAAAGTTACAAAAATGTGTTTATGCAAAGATCCAGCATTATTATTATTGAATGATATTGCCCAATTTCCCTTATATGCAAAGGTCAAGTACATTTTGGTTGGCTGCCTTCACTGCTAAAAAGAAAATGATGGTACAGAGGTAGAAACCCCCTCATGATTTCTCTGTTAAACACTGGTTGCATTCACTATTGGAAATATTGTATCTATCATCAGCATGGATCAACCAGGTGTGGAACATCTATATAGGCGATGTCAAAGAAACTTTGGACACTTAACCCTCAACTGATACAACAAATGTAAATTTTAATGTAATGTATCTAATAGCTTGGTCTAAACTACAGTTATTCTTTGTTTCCTGTTGTGCATACAGTATAATGGGGTGTGAGGATGAGGCATATGGGGTAATAGCTGTTAAAAGTATTTTTTAATCTGATTGTAAAAATTGTATATTTTTTTTTTGGAAGTAAAAACTGAAAAAAAAAATAAAAATAGATATATAAATATATATATATATAATAAAATAAAAAAAAAATAAAAATCTTATAAACACAATATATTAAAATACTGATCTGATTAATTAAACCAATGAAGCCTCAACATAGCTGCATACTGTATGTGGCACAGAAGAGTTGACAAAATTCAAAAAGAAACAAGTGACTGAAAGATTATCCATTGTATACACAAAAACATCAAATATTTCAGAAATATAAGAAGTGTAAAGGTAGATGGATCTGATCTGTTGAATTTAGACTATAAACACTTTTTAATACAGCAATCTAAACCTTTGGGCGAGTCTGAGAGTGTAAGTGACATATCTAATATTGCAACATAATTGGTGTATTGTCATTCTCATTAATGGAGCAGTTGATGTTTGTTTAAATCACAGCTGGAGCCTGCACTTTCACATTGATTTTTCCTTACGATGGATAATTACTATGCATGAATTAACAAGAAGGAGGGAATGATTGATAACGTATGCACATGCACACAAGTAACTGTGATTACTACAATGACTACCAAATGACTTAGTAAAAACAGACTGTTTAAGACAAATCGATTTCAGCACAAAGACAACATTACAAAAAAATACTAAAACACAGTAATTCTGGAACTGTTCAGTAACGTATAACTGAAGCGACATCAGAACAATTGCTGAGCTCAGATATTTTGCTACATCCAAAGAGAAAATCAGAGAAAAAATAATAAAAGAACACATCAATAAGCACATTTCCTTATTACCCTGATTAATAATGATTATAAACGATAATTGTAAAAGATGATTGTTACACTTTGTTTTGCTCAGTGGGAAGTGGTGGATATAACTGAAGCTAAACTAAAAAATATGCTATTTAATATGTGCTTTATATTTAATAATTACACAAAATTAGTTCTTAATAATGGTTCATTTAGATTTAAAACCAAATGTGTAACTTTTAATCAGCCAATATAAATGATTAGACCACCAAACATTTACATGTAATCATTTAGCAGACCCTTTTGTCCGATGTTGGTGACTTACAATTGAGGAGGTATTCAGCAATTCTACAAAACGAGGCAATGTACATAAGAAAGACTGAAAAAAAGTGCTTCAGTAGGTGGTTTAGGTATTTATCGGTGTTCAAGTGTTCTTGAAAGAGATGGGGTTTTTTAGTTGTCCTTTGAAGGATACCTGTGTTTCTTCAGTCTGGATGGGAATAGGAACCTAAAACTCAATAGTTTTGGATTTAATTAAAGAAGCTTCTTCTTTTTCAATTTGAGCAAACATTTTAAAAAAATAAAGTTTTAATAATGTTACTGTCTTAAAGCAGGGGTGCCCAGACTCTGTCCCGGAGGGCTATTGTCCTGTATAGTTTTGCTCCAACCTGTCTCACTGTCTGGACGTTTCTAATATAGCTCGAAAAGTTTTGGCACAGCTTAAAGGAAATTAAACTAATAATTCTAAAGTCATAAATCATTCACCCTACACTCGTCGTAAAACCTGTTTTTTTTTTTTTTCTTCTATTAGTATATTTTGACTAAAATAAAAGTCAATGATTACAGTTTCGATTTTTTCTTTTTCTTATTTTGTGTTTAACCCTAACCACTTTTTAAGAAATAAAAGGAAACTCCTAACAGTTTGGGTGAGAAAATCATTAGTAAATTTAGATTTTTGGATTCACTATCCCATTATATTAAATGCTACAGTACATGACAAGTAATACTGTTCAAAATATTTAACATAAAATTATATAAATATAATGAACTAAATATATTATTCTATTATTAAAATATTATAATATAAATCTAGTTCAACTTAGAAAATAATTGCATTTTACCATGTTTGATTCTGGTAACTTGGGTCTTAAATATTTTTTTATTGAACCATTACTTTTTAAAACATGAAATTATGCTAAACTGACAACCAGGATGGTTCATTTTACATGATATCAAAGTGGTCTAAAATGCATGACCGCCTGCCTCTTTTTATCTTTCCGTCCCAGCAATTCCGGCAGAGACCCATTGCCTTTCTGGGAGACCACTGAAATGACGTTGTTCTTACCATAGCCAATGGCACAATGCCCACAAGGTCCTTCTGTGCCAGGTGGATGTGCGTCTCTGTTTCCTCCGTGCCAGGCCTGATGCCTGGGTATTCCACTGCCCAGGAAAACGACCTGCTGCCTACAGCACTTCCACCACCATCCACCTCCAGATCCACCTGAACAACCCTCTGCCAGCCCGGCTCCAAACTGAATTAAAAAAGAAAAGAAAAAAAGAGAGAGATCAATATCGTCACTGAAACACTTTTTTAAATAATGCATGTTGTGATGTTGAGAGTGGTTGAGAACCACCAACTTTCTATGTAATTAGAATGTAATTAGAGTTATATTTATGTATAAAATGTAAAATAATGATTTATTTTTTATTTTTTATGAAACACTCAAATGTATGTAGTGTTTAAGCATTTATGTGTGGTCACGGAGGTTAAACCACCAGTTTGTAATGGCAAAACATCTTTTTTAATAATTTCTAGAAGCAGTGTCTCAAAACACATTGTTTCAGATTTCCCTCTGTTGTGACATTACAAGCCCTGTTTGTGATTGTGAATGGTCTAACAATTGATCATACACTGTAAACCCTAATGTTGTCTTTACTTAAACAACTGAGTAAAGTTGACTTAATATTACTTAAAATTTAGCATTTTGGTCCTGTCACCCAAACAAATGAGTTAATTTATCTTATATACAATGAAAATGCATAAACTTAAGATTTTGTAAGATTTAGTAAGCACAAAATCACAATTAATCCTTTGAAAAAAATAGGTCGTTTTTAATGTAGTCTTGATCGTAAAATTCTAATATGTGCAACCTTAAGGTCTTTTTTTTTTATTAGAAAACAAGGCTTCATGTATAATTATTCACCATGATGGGATAAATTGCTACTCATTTTTCTTTTAAACATTTCTTTCTTAGTATATAATTACACATACAGACACACACACTGAACTGGACAATTTAAGTATAATCTACCAAACCAGCAAGTTAAATAAACTTAAATATGCACCTTTGGGAGATTCCGTTACTCAATTAAATTGAGTCAACAAGTTTACTCAATTAATTTTGATCAGTCATTTTTGGTGTACCTAATATTTTCAGTGTACCCTCACTGCATTCAAATGTATTTTTATAAATATTATGAATTCTATTTTGTCTAGAGCAGTTTCTCACTCTCGCTAGATACAGTTGCCTTGAACAGTGCCGAATCACGATTGTTCCTCCTCCTCTTTCCCAAGAAGGCTTGCAAGCACACTGCATTTGGCCTTGAATCTGAGCACCCTTATGTCATTGATGACGTGACTGTTCAGTTTAACAGAAAGTGAAGTGCTCTTGCTCAGCGCAGCAGAGATTGCTGTAGTTATATCGTCTCAGTCGTTTGTGATGCTGTGACACGCAGTCAAATATTTAGTTAAACAGATCCACAAATTTTGGTGCTAATAAATAATCATTAAAAAGTCATTGTGCTACATGTACTAGGAGGTTTGCTGAAGTTGTGGCTGACATGTAGCGAGGTGTTATTGTTTTTAATAAACTGTGACAGTTTGCATTGAAAAGTAAAAATGATTAATAAATCTATATGAAACAGTTCCTTAAAAGTGACGTCACGTCTTTATTTTTGAAAGTGCGTTTTGCACTCACACTACTGTACAAGCATACCGTGCCAAAGCCCAACCAAACCGCACTATGGCACACCTCTTCCAACCGGGCCAGTGTCGGGAAACTGAACCATGCCTGGGTCCGATTTGAAGCATTCACACTTGTCAAACGCTTCTTTGACACTCCTGTCAGCTAAGAACAGACAACTGAGGCTACAATTCACACAGGCTCACCAAAATTGGACAATAGAAGATTGGAAAACGTTGCCTGGTCTGATGAGTCTTGATTATTGTTGCGACATTTTGATGATAGGGTCAGAATTTGGCGTCAACAACATGAAAGCATGGATCCATCCTGCCTTGTTTCAACGGTTCAGGCTACTGGTGGTGGTCTAATGGTGTGGCAGATATTTTCTTGGCACACTTTGGGCTCATTAATACCAATTAAGCATCTCCACAGCCGACATGAGTATTATTGCTGACCATGTCAATCCTTTTATGACCACCCATCTTGTGATGGCTACTTTCAGTAGAATAACACACTATGAGCGAATCATGCCAGACTAGTTTCTTGAACATGACAATGAGTTTACTGTACTCAGTGGCCTCCAGTCACCAGACTCAGTCCAATAGAGTATCTAGAGCAGGGGTGTCAAACTTAATTCCTGGAGGGCCGAAGCTCTGCACAGTTTAGTTCCAACCCTGCTCCAACACACTTACCTGTAGGTTTCAAACAAGCCTGAAGGACTCAATTAGTTTGATCAGGTGTGTTTAATTAGGGTTGGAACTAAACTGTGCAGAGCTGCGGCCCTTTTGGAACTGAGTTTGACACCTGTGATCTAGAGGATCTGTTGCAATGGGATCATGGATGTGCAGCCGACAAATCCGAAGCAGCTGGTGCTATCATGTCAATAAGTACCATCCTCTCTGAGGAATGTTTTCAGTACCTTGTTGAATCAATGCCATAAAGGATTAAGGCAGTTCTGAAGGCAAAAGTGGGTCCACCCCGGTACTAGTACCTAATAAAGTAAATGGTGAGTGTATATTACATCATTCATTCATTCATTCATTTTCTTGTCAGCTTAGTCCCTTTATTAATCCGGGGTCACCCCAGCGGAATGAACCGCCAACTTATCCAGCAAGTTTTTACGCAGCGGATGCCCTTCCAGCCGCAACCCATCTCTGGGAAACATCCACACACACATTCACACACACACTCATACACTAGGGACAATTTAGCTTACCCAATTCACCTGTACCGCATGTCTTTGGACTGTGGGGGAAACCGGAGCACCTGGAGGATATCCACGTGAAGGCAGGGAGAACATGCAAACTCCCACACAGAAACGCCAACTGAGCCGAGGTTCGAACCAGTGACCTTTTTGCTGTGAGGCGACAGCACTTCCTACTGCGCCACTGCCTCACCCGTAATGTAATTTAATGTTCTTATCTTGATATGTAAAGTTCATTCTGATTCAGATAAAAAAAAATCTTTCAGGGCATACATTTTTAAAAAAACATCCCTCAAAGGGCTATCGGTATATCTATATTTAAAAAAACCTTGTCAGTCTTTATATTTCACAATCTAATAAAATATGTTTTACAGTAATGTGAGGGATACAGTATGGTGAGGAATACGACATTGGTTACATGTCAGTGGCACCTGATTAGCATTAAAAAGATACCTTTTATCATGTCATGTCATATATATATAAATTGCCCAGCCCTTAACAGATTGCCTTATGTAACAAGTCTCCAGAGAAACCCCGGTTGGAAGCCACGTCAAGTCACTTAGAGTTTACTGTCACGAGCCGATCGAAGAACAAGGAAAAGCGCAAGTGAGAGGAATCATAAAAGAGCTGCTGAGTGCAATGACACAGCTCTCAGCGATTACCGCACCGCAACACATTAAAAGAAGGAGCGCGAGAGAAACCCAGCAGAGGGGAAAAGTAAAGCAGGAGGTAAAAGAAAGGAAGTGATATGGAGAGACAGGGAACAGATGGAGGTAGACACATACAGAGACTACAGCTGACAGCAACAGAAGAAGGAACTACTGAGACAGCGACGGACGGAGAGAGAGAAACAAAGAAACAGAAACTTCATTTTCTGCCTGAGGTGGTGATCACTTTGCCTCAAATTGCATACGGAGTCGAAGAACAACAACACTCCTTATAATGTTTTTTTCTTCTTCAGCTATACACGAGTGGCTCCAGAACTCTTCAAGCGTGAGGCCAGATACAGTAGCAGTGTTGTGAAGCTAGACTTCATTTTAGTTTGCAACAAGCTAATCATTATTTAAAGTAGTTAGAAGTCTCGGGAAATTAAAGCTTCATTATGGGCTACAAAAAAATATAGCTACGATGAGGAGTCAAAATGTTTTCAAATTAAAAATCTTATATAACAATCTGAAGATGTAATTTACAATTTAATTAGAGCCATATCCTTTTTTCCCCCTAATCAAAACAGTTAAGGGTTGTAAATGAATGAGCAATTATAATTAAGTTTAAAGTATCAAAATTATGAGATAAATTACACCTAAACAACAATACCACCACACACATGCTTCAGTTCAGACCATATGTTATTTTATTTTTAAAAATCCAGCAGGGGAAATAAGTAAAATTTTCTCAAAAAACATATTTGTAAAGGTGCCGTTGACTTGAATTTTTTCCTGAATGTTGGATGCAACCAAATAAATTCATATATGCAAAGAAAACAAACCTAATTAATTTACAAGTAAAGTTATGTGTAATAAAATTAAATGACACATGTATAAAGGTCTGAACACATGAAGAAAGGAAGGTGTAGAAAGGCAGTGAAAGCCCAGACAGTAACTGAAATCTCTCAATAGTTATTCAGCAACCCTCTGCCCTTCCTCATTGTAAATGAACATTAGCTGTTTCAGTTCAACATCTACATTTTCAGGATGAGACGAAACCAGGGTGGACATTTCAGCAAGACAATGATTCAAAACACAGCCAAAGAAACTCTCAAATGCTTTCAGAGAAAGAAAATAAAGCTGTAGAATGGCCCAGCCAATCACCTGACTTGAATCCAACATAAAAATGAATTAAAGATCAGGTTTGATAGACAAAATCCATAGAACCATCAAGATCTTTAGACTTTGATGAGGTCCGAGAAAAACTCACACCTGAGTAATTTATCTGATTCATTATCTATATGAGAGGCTTGAGCTGCCATCACCAAAAAGCATTTTAAATAATGTATTAAATTAAATATTAAATAATATCTGTAGTTCAGTACATTATATATTTTTATTGTTTTCAGATTTGTGTTTATTTATTTATTTTTGTTTATGTTTGTATTGTTTGGGTTTTTACCTAAATCTGTTTCAATTCCATGTCAACAACAATAATATTCCCAGAAAAATTTTTCCTGCTGTATGTTTATAAAAAAATATTTATTTTTATGATTTTTTTTTTAAATATGGCAAAAAATTGCATATGGTCTGATTCGAATTATACAGTAATAAATATAATAACTGGATTTTTACAGTGTCAAACTGTGGATTGTCTGAATAAAGTCAATGAAACAATTCATTAGAAGAAATTTGGTTCTAATGAAACACATAAGAAGACCGTCAGAATGAACTGACTCACTATAATTAATCAGATTTTTCTACAGCACAAAAAGACCAAGGCCATCCAAATGAACAAATTTACTAGATTGAATCATGCATTTAAATTCCACACAAGAGAAGGGCTATTTTAATGAATTGGCTCATGAGTCAGAAGTTACTTATTTATTACAAAAATCTGACTTTACAATTCTACATAAGCGAGAACTAACTAAACATATTGACTCACTAAATGAATCTGATTTTTCTCCACACAAGATAACATGGGCGTCTGAATGAACTGATTTACTAAATCTGAATTGCCAATGCCACATATGAATGAATAGATTCACTAAAATAAATCAAACTTTGCAATTTTGTAAATCTGAATCATTAGATTAATCAGAATGCATTCTACAACTGAATCAATGGATTTCCTTTAATCACTAAGATGTTCTAATATTGGACGGTATGAATAAATCAACTCATTGAATAAACAGACTTTGCAATAAAGGATGGGAACTGTATAGATTACCATTATGGTAACGACCATCCAACCAACCAAACAAACAAACAAAAAAACAAACAAACAAAAATTACACAACAAACAACCATAAAATAAAATAAACTTCCCAGTAATACCCAGATTGATAAAATAAAACTAAATAAAAAAATAAATACTTCCCAGTGATAACTGGATTAAAAAAAATAAATAAATACATAATATAAAAATAAATATTTTCCAGTAATACCTATATTGATAAAATAAAACTAAATAAATAAAAATTTA